CTGCCGAGCAGGGAGCCCGATGCGGGACTCGATCCCGGGACTCCAGGATCATGACCTGAGCTGAAGGCAGTCGCTTAACCAACTGAGCCACCCAGGCTCTCCTCTTCTGCATACATTTAGAACCACACCGTGTGATGCTGTAAATCTTGCTTCAACCAGCACATAAAGGAGAAGGGAAATATATTGTACTCATGTGTAATTGCTCATACCATGTTATTTCCTTCCTTCCTGATACCCAGAGATTCTTCCTTTTCTCCTTTTCTTTCTGGTTGAAAGACTTCCTTCAGCCATTCTTTTGGGGCAGGACTGCTGGTGACAAATCCTCATACTTTCCCCTTGTCTGAGGGCATCTTGATTTCTTTCATTCCTGAAGGGTTCTGGGTGGACAGTTCTTTTCTCTCAGCACTCAAAAAACGTGCCACCTTCTCATGGCCTCCATGATTTCTGATGAGAAATCTGTTCTAATTCAAACTGTCTTTCCTCTGTGGGAGAGGCATTGTTACTCTCTCATTGCTGTGAAGGCTTGTCTGTTGTCTTTAGTTTTCTGACATTTGACTATGTTGTGTCCTGGTGTGGGTTCCTTTGGTTTGTCTGCATTGGGGTCTTCCCAGTTTCCCAAGTGTGGAGGTTTACATCTTTGTTAAATTTAGGGACTTTTCATCCATTATTTCTCTGAATACTTTATTTATTTATTTATTTATTTATTTTTATTCTTATGTTAATCCCCATACATTACATCATTAGTTCTAGATGAAGTGTTCCATGATTCATTGTTTGTGCATAACACCCAGTGCTCCATGCAGAATGTGCCCTCCTCAATACCCACCACCAGGCTAACACATCCTCCCAACCCCCTCCCCTCTAGAACCCTCAGTTTGTTTTTCAGAGTCCATCGTCTCTCATGGTTCGTCTTCCCTGAATACTTTTTATAGCCATTTTCTTTCTTGTCTTTGGTGATTCCTTTGACATGAATGTTGGATCTTCTATTACAGTCCCATGGGTTGCTGTGTTCTGGGGATTTTTTCCCCTAGTCTCTTTGCTCCATTTTTTCAGTTTGGGCAATTTCTTTCATTCTGCCTGCAAGTTCACTGGGCTTTCCTCTGTTCTCGACCACCTGTTGACCTTTTTATTTCATTATTTTTTTTCAGTTCTAAAATTTCCATTTGATTCTCTTTTGTATCTTCTATCTCTTTGCTGGAGTTTTTTTTTTCTTCTTCTTCTTTTTTTCAAGTGTGTTTGTGGCTGCTCATTGGATTATTCTTACAAGAGCTGCTTTAAAATCTTGTTAGTTATTCTGATTATTCTGTTCATCTTGGTGTTGCTGTTTGTTGATTGTCTTTATTCACTTGTTGAGACTGTTCTGGTTCTGAGATGCTGAGTGGTTTTCGATGGGAACCTGGACATTTGGAGTATTGTGTGTGAGACTCTGGGTCTTGTCTGGACCTTGTGTTTCCGCTGGTTTTCTGTGACTTCACTTGGCAGGGAAAGGGGCCACCACCTTGACACTTCCAGGTGTGGTGGAAAGTCTGGGCGCCACACTGGGCCTCTGTTGGGGCTCGTGGTGGTTCCACCTTACTGCCATGCTGGAGAGGGGGTCTGGCTCCTGCCTGGGAGGGAGGAGCAGGAGAGCCCTTGGTCTCCCCTGACTCTGAGCAGCAGGGAAAAGGCCGGGCTGCTGGTGCCCTTGTGTGCTCGGTGTCTCCTCACAGCGGGGGGAGTGTGGACATGTGCAGGAGTTTCGGTTGTTTGCCTGGAGTAGGCCTGCTGTTGTCTACAGTTTTCCTCTCATGAGGCTGCCCCTCTCCTGGCCCTTTGGCCAGAGAGAGCTGGGTTTGGGGGGAGCATACTGTGGTGCCTGCTGGTGTTTCTGGATGTTTCTGGGCTGCCCTGTCTCCAGCAGTCAGTCTGGGGGATGAGGTGAACAGAATGCCTAGGGCCTCACCTCTGGGCTGCTCCCCAGTCCCCACATCTGTGCCTCCTTCCTTCTGTCTTTCAGAGTCTTCTCATGACTTTCACATGTAACGCCCAGGACTTGAGTACACGTAGTGGGAGAAGGGGGACAAAGTCTCCTGGAAGCAGAGTCCTCACAACTGTTACTTAAATATCGAATGACTTTTAGGAATACTACATTTATTTGAAGTCATGTTTTGATAGTCAAGAGCAATGTAGTAATGTTCATAAGACGCTGGGATGCTTTGTCTGATCCATGGATACTTTGTAGGCTCCATCTTCATAAATCTGACCTTTTGATTTCTGGCTTTGTATTTTATTTTGCCGGTTAGAACGCATCAGTGTTGTGTGCTCCTGATGCAGTGTTCACAGTGTTTATTCCTGCTTGGGGCTTTAGGGCTAGGTTTGAGATTGGATGTGGATTTCAGGTAATATCTTTATGATGTCAGAGAACGACTTTGTCCTAGGTTTTGCTGTTTTTAATCGGGGATGGGTGCTTGATCTTGCCAGATGGTGCTTTGCTCCCTGTGGGAAAGTTGCGTGCTTTTACTCCTGGTTATGTGTGTCGGCTTTAGGTACTATCGCTAATCTCGTGGGTGGAGCTGATGCTGAGCCTTTGGTCAGAAGGACAGCCTGCCCTTAGGAATTTCATATGACTACGGCTTATGCACAACGAGGGTGCTCTTTCCCCCTCACATATGGGTTCCAGGGAGGCCCTTTATGGTTGATGTGGCAGAGCTGATCCATGCCACCCTGACAACCCAGTCTCCATCTGTTAACTAGTCTGCCATTGTTAATGCATGGCCCTCATCCTCACGAATCAAGAAGGTAGGTAGAGGACCAGACATCATGACTGTATCCCCAGCAACAGAGGGAGACAAGGAAGAACAGGCTGTCTTTAAGGAACATTCCAGTAGCTCCCACGTGACCTTTCAAGCCCTATCTCATGGGCCACCTCTAGTTGTGAGGAGAGGCTGGACCACAAAGTGTTTATTTTAGGTTACCAAGCCCCAGACGAGAGTGAGGGGCTAGACGATCATGCTAGAGGTGGAGAAGGGGTCCGGGGACAGTGGCCAGTCTGCCCTCGCCTCTCTCCCAGCACCTGCCGGGCACTGACCAGCATTCCCAGCACATTGCCCTCCTGTCCCCTCTGCCTTTTCAGGTCCTCCTTCCCTCCTGATGCAGCCCTTGGTCTGTGGCTGACTCAGTTTCCCTATCCTAACTCCAGATCGTGCAGGGCAGCTGAGGCGAGGAGAGACCAGGTCCCGGAGATGTGCCAAAGCCTGGGTCCTCAGAGAGAGAGTGGTTCCAGGGTGTTAGGAGAATACTGATGGGGAGGAGAGTGTGATGAACGCGGGGGGAAGCAGCCTCCCTTGTTTGATCTGATGTTGCGTTTTTGTAGGTGCTGATGAGGGATTTAAGAGCCGCGCCCTGAGCAGTGGGCCTCGGAGGTGTGGCAGGCATGGTGGGGAGTGGGCCCTGCAGTACAATGACCCCTTCTCTGAGCACCTGCTGAGGAAGCTGTGTGCCTGTCTCCCTGTCTGATGTGATGGAATTCAAATAGGGCTGAACTGACCCAAAAAGGCAGAGCTGAGATGCAAGGCCAAGCAGCCATCCTTTTCCCCAGGGACCCTCTGTGCAGGGCACTTGGGGGTAGGTGTCACCCCCTGAGCCCCTAAACAGGGCTCAGTGGCCTGGGGTGTAGGGCCCCATGACATTGGGTCTTCCCCTGGAGAGAGTGTGAAGCTGTGTATTTTTCGGGCCCTTTGTGGGTGGCCTTCTGTAGTGTCCAGCTGCATCTGTGTCCCCACCTTGTGCCTCACAGCATTTCCAGAAGCTTCTGGGTGTGTTCGCGTTGCTGATGCTGCTCTTGGCCTGTCCATGTGATGGCCCGAGCGAGCCCTGCCCCAGCTCTCTCCCCCTCCGGCACCGCCAGCCACGGCAGACTGTGTCTCAGTCTTGTCCCAGAGGCCCCCCGGCCAAGGAGGGGGTCAGCTTCCATCGGCCAGACCCCAGTCATCCTGCAGCTCCCACACCCTGTGCAGTGGCTTTTTAGCCCCTGGGGCTGTCCTCACGTGCTCAGCCTGGACACTTCCACGTCTGGAGTCGTGTGCTCTCCCGGGACCCGGAGGCCTCTCCCCCCAGCTGACCCGATGTCAAGAGTGGCCATAGGCCATTGCACTATTGGGATGTCTCTCTTCTGCATCAGAGCCTGTCCCTTTGGAAGCTGTGTGTGTGGACCTCAGGGTGGATCCAGGCCTCGCTCTCCTTTGCTTTCTAAAGCAGGGTGGGAAGGGGAGTGAGAGGGACCAAGGGATGGGCCTCTGATGCAGGTGAGGCCGGCTGGTCAAGGGCCAGTGGGGTTGAGGTCAGGCTAGGACCCTGGGGAGGAAGAGAGGCAGGGTCTGGATGAGGAAACCGCGTCCTCAAAAAAGCAATGGAGTCTCCAGGGCAGCAAGGCTCCTCTGGAAAAGCCTAGATGTTGATTCCATTCTCTGGGGGAGGGGGGGAAGAAAACATCTGACCCCCATGGAGAAGGAAGAAATCAGAAGACAAGACCAGGGGGGAAATGCAGTGTTGTCTGTCTGTCTCTGTGAGATCAGGGGACCCCTGTTGGTCCTGGGGGATGGGTTTCTACAGCCCATCTTGAGGTCCCTCTCAGGCCCGTGTTGGGCAGTGGGGTGGGGAGTGAGGCCGGGCCATCCTGTGTTTCCTGCCTGTGACCTCTGCTTAGTGCAGCTGGGGCACACGGGTGGGGGGGCAATGGGGGAGGGTTGCCATGGTGGCCTGGGTGTTCCGGAGGTGATGCCGGCCCCTTCCCAGTGCTCGGGGAGCAAGTCACCTGTGTAATGACAGGCCAGGCCTGGGCACAACCTGCCGGGGCTTGGGGGCCAGGCAGGATCTGCAGGACCAGACCGCATGCTGGTGCACATGAGGAGGGTCTGCAGCCCCTCACGCAGGGCAGCTCGTCAGCACCACCCTCAGGGGAGTGATTGAGGACTGGCGGGGAAGGCCCCGCTGCATCACATGGGCCTGTCTCTCCTGTCCAGGAGCGGCTGCTTATGAGCCTTCTGCCCCGAAATGTTGCCATGGAGATGAAGGAGGACTTCCTGAAGCCCCCCGAGAGGATTTTCCACAAGATTTACATCCAGCGGCATGACAATGTGAGGTAGGGCTGACGCTGGCCTGGCGGAGGTGGGCCTTGGGGAGCTCAAGTGAGGGTGATGGAAATGGCAGGCGATGGTGGGGGTGGGGGTGATGGAGGAGGGGGGAGGCCACAGGCAGACGGGGGTGGAGGGCCCCCGTTTGAGGGGAGGAGGGGCCAGGTGTGGGTCGGGAGGTGCAGGTGAGCACCTGCCGGCTGGGAAGCAGGTCCCATGGAAGGTGTGACTGGAGAATTCTTGGGTGATGGGTGTCACAGCTGCTCTGTCCCACTATTCCTCACCTCCCGTTTCCTGCGTGGGCTAGACAGAGGGTTGGCACTCTGCCCCTGAACTGGCTTGGGTGGTGGAATATGGGCTGGGACTTGGCCCTCATCAGGGTAACAGCTGAGCATTCTTCTGCTTGGTGCCAGGGCCTGGGGTAGGCGTCCTCTTCCTCACTTGGTTCCTCTCATGGCAGCCCCAGGAGGTAGGGAGTGTTCCCGTTTTGCAGGTGAGGAAACAGTCCTCGGGTGAACCAGCTCGCCCCAGACACACTCTGAGGTTTGTGTGCTTGTTTTTAAAGATGCAGCTAAAAATAACTTGGTTCCACTCAATTGTGCCTTCTCTTTAAGAGTGCTTACGCTAGCTGAGTGTTGCACTTTCCATAAGTGTCAGGCAGGCGGTGGTGGACGACCCTGGGCCCCCGCAGACACCACAGGATCAAAACCTCCTTCTGTTTGAGTGCTGTGGACTAAGTCCCCACAAGCTGGTGCTTGTCCATCGGGAATGAGCTAAGTAAGGCCTGCGGCTGCCGGCCCCTCCCCATCAGGGTCCGAGCCACCCGTGGCTCGGACAGTGGCCAGCCGCTGTCTGCTGAGCATGCTCACCCTGCTGCTGTGCTTCTCGGGAAGGACCGGTGTTGTCCTCCTGTGGAGGACGTTGAGCCCAGTGAGGTTAAGGCCCCAGGGAGTGGGGCCAGCATCCCAGTCCTGGCAGCGCAGGCACTGTCGCTTGTAGATGAGGAAACTGAGGTCGAAAGTGAAGCCCGTGAGTGGTGGGGCTGGGGCCGGGCCTGGGACTGGCTGCTTCTGACATCCACCTAGACTTCCCATTCACCCACCGACTCTCCTTCGTGAGTAAGGACGTGGCGCAATGACCCAGCGCCCTGCTGACACCAGACCACCAGAACAATCCAGGGAGTGCCTGGGGGGAGGGGTGTAGAGCGTCTGCACCCACAGTAGGGAAGGCATCAGATGTCAGGGACCTCCTGGGGCGGCAGCTGGGAGTGAGCCTGGTGCACGATGCCCTGGGACAACAGACACATATGTGGAAAGTCACCGTTTCCCTGTGAGGCTGAAAAATCTCCACCCACATCACCTGGTAGGTGCCTCATTCCCAGCAGGTGCAGGTCTGACAGCTCTGAGGTACGAGGGGAAGCCAGGGTGAGAGATGGCTTCCTCCAGCCCAGATGTGAACATTTCACTGTTCTCCTCACCGTCCTTGTTAGAGTCCCTCACTGGTCCCCATCACTCCAGGATTAAAGTCCCGAGTCGGTACACCATTCGCAGCTGATAGGCTGATGCCACCAGGAACAGTGGGGTAAGGCCATCTGAAAATCCTCTCCTCCATAGAAGCAATGACAATACTGACAAAAACTGTCAGAGTCAACATTGTCAGGACACTGGAAACGAGCCCAAGCCTTGCAGGAATCCAGGAATGTTTACTTAAGAAAAATGCCTAGATCTTGGTAAAAACAGCAAGCTTTGTAGAGTTCTGACTTACCCAGTTCCACCGTTTTTAGCTCCATGATAGCTTTGAAAACCAGCAGCTGCAATCACAGGGAAAACCTGTCCACTGACAGCCACCTGAGGGGACAGAATGAGGTTGGGGCTTTGAAAAATCCTCAGAGAACTGTGTCATTATTTGACTGTCTGGGAATTCCCTGGAAAACCTTGCTCAAGGCTTGTCTTTATTTGACCTGACTCGACACTCAGTGTGAACAGCTTTTGCCCTGGGACATTTGTTAAAAACAATCAGTGACAATTGTTTAACATCATAGCTGTCAGAGACAGTGAAAGCAGCTGAGGCAAGCAGCAGAGCACTAAAAACTTAAAACTGGGGAACGAGATGTCTGTCAGGTGCTTTGAAAGGCTCTGGGGATGTTTCTGGGAATCAGAAGACCGTGCACAAGGGTAAGGCTGTGTGCGTGCTCAGGAAAGACCACGAGGACCCTGGGCTGTCCTTGAGGTCTTGAGGCTGACCTTGAGGCTGTGTGCAAGCAGGAAGAGCAAACTAAGAGTTGGAATCTGCCTGGCTGAGTGCCCATCATCAAAGACTGAAAGACTTACTGGCTGCAGGCATGTGAGGAAATTTCTGTCCAGTCATTAGCTGACCACTAGGCTAACCAACCAGAGATTTTAATGGCCCCACATGAGAAAGAAAACACACTTTACAGGATTTGTCAGAAAAGTCACTGAACAAATAACATAAATAGCAATAAGAACAACCCCAATCCTGAGGTGGGGGGGGTTCTGATTTTCAGAGTTGCCACATTGTATTATCTAGTTTTCCATAAAAATATGTGCAACATGCAAGAAAACACAAATGTTTGCCTCACACAGGAATGAAAAAAAGCAGTCAATAGAAGCTGTCCCAGAGGAAGCCCACACATTGGACTTTTCTAGACAAAACTAAATCACATATATTTTTTAAAGATTTTATTTATTTATTTGAGAGAGAGATTGGGGTAGGCAGAAGGAGAGGGAGAAGCAGACTCCCCACTGAGCAGGGAGCCTGATGTGGGGCTCCATCCCAGGACCCCGAGATCATGACTCAAGCCGAAGGCAGACTCTAAACCTACTAAGCCACCCAGACACCCCTAAAGCACCCATTTTAAATATGTTCAAAGAACAAACCGTGTCTAAATAAAGGGGAACATGAGAAAGACTTCCAGAAATTCCAACTTTGAAATATACATTAAAATGAAAAGGTCACTAGGGGAGCTCCACCTTGAGCAGATTTGAGCAGGTTGAAGAAAGAATTGGTGAACTTGAAGACAGACAGTTGAGGTCATGAAACCTGATGAACAGAATGAGAAAAGGGTGACAGAGAGAGAAGAGAGGCTCAGAGACTCCAGGGACACCGGCCAGCCCAGCAACACACCCATAATGAGTCCCAGAGGAGAGGAAAGGGGCAGAAAGAATATTTGAAAAGAAATATGGCTCAAAATGTCTCAAATTCGATGAAAAACGCTCACTTACACATTGAAGAAGCTCAGTTAGGACACACACAAGGAGAGCCACCCCCAGACACATCGTAATCGAACTTTAAAAGCCAGATACTAGGAGAGAAGTGGGAGAGAAGTGATGTGTCACATGCAGGTGACTGCCAACAAGACCATCGTGTGATTTTTCATAGGGAGTGGTGGAGGTGGGGGCTGGGGGTGGCACGTTCCAGGGCTGAACTAAACAGTCAGGAATTCTGTATGCAGCAGAAATCACAGTGACGGCACCGCTGTGCTGCGTGAGGCTTCATGGCTGTAGAGTGTCCAGGAAGGAGGCTGTGCTGGGGGGTGGGCACCCTTGTTTAGACTTGCCCAGCTCTGTAGCAAACAGATGCCCACACATCAGGCTTCCATCCCACCAGGTGAGGCCCTGTCCCGATGCAGACCCAGTTGGCCCCTCCGTGAGGCTCGGGGATCCACAGCGGGGCTCCAGCAACACCCGGGCTCTGTCACCTTGTTAGCCGGCAGGAGGGGAAAGGGGCGAGGAGGCCAACTCACTTCCTACAGGCACATCCCTTGTGCTCACTGGCCACTGGTCACAGGCCGTCCTGGGCTGGGGGCAGGTCTGGTGGCCGTGGAGCTGTGCCCCGCCCGTGTCCTGGGGGGTCAGCCGGAGCTCCGCCTGGCCCCAGCGTTCACTCCCCCCGTGGCCGTGAGGGCGTCCCCCACTTCCCTTCCAGCCCACCCCGAGGAATAAACAGGTTTATTTTGGGGTGTTCGTAAAGGCAGCCCTCGGCACGGCTCTGGGGGCTGCGGTCCGCCTGGGAGGCTGGGCCCCGCGTGCCCGCGGAGGAGGCAGCCTGGTGCCTTTTTCTTGCAGCATCCTCTTCGCGGACATCGTGGGCTTCACGGGCTTGGCGTCACAGTGCACCGCGCAGGAGCTGGTGAAGCTCCTCAACGAGCTCTTCGGCAAGTTTGATGAACTGGCCACGGTAAGCGCAGCCCCCCGTTGTGCACGGGGCACTGGAGCTGCCTCTGGGGCAACAGCGTGCCGGGTGGGCTCCCGTGGTGCGGGTGTGACCTGGCGGACCGCCCGGCGCTTTCGCCCCGCCCAGCTGTCAATCACCCACAGCTCCCGCCTTGCGGACCGCCCGGCGCTTTCGCCCCGCCCAGCTGTCAATCACCCACAGCTCCCGCCTTGCGGGCCGCCCGGCGCTTTCGCCCCGCCCAGCTGTCAATCACCCACAGCTCCCGCCTTGCGGACCGCCCGGCGCTTTCGCCCCGCCCAGCTGTCAATCACCCACAGCTCCCGCCTTGCGGACCGCCCGGCGTTTTCGCCCCGCCCAGCTGTCAATCACCCACAGCTCCCGCCTTGCGGACCGCCCGGCGCTTTCGCCCCGCCCAGCTGTCAATCACCCACAGCTCCCGCCTTGCGGGCCGCCCGGCGCTTTCGCCCCGCCCAGCTGTCAATCACCCACAGCTCCCGCCTTGCGGGCCGCCCGGCGCTTTCGCCCCGCCCAGCTGTCAATCACCCACAGCTCCCGCCTTGCGAACCGCCCAGCGCTTTCGCCCCGCCCAGCTGTCAATCACCTGCAGTTCCTTGGCGCGAAGGAGAGCGCTCTCCCTAGCGCAGCCCGAGCGCCTCCAGCTGGCTGGGTCGTGAGGCCCTGCGCGGGCAGCTCTGCCTTGAGGGTCACGGCTGGGGCCAGTTGGTGACGTTTGAGGATGACAAAGCCCCTTGCCTGTGGCAGGAGAGCGCTGGCGTTTTAAGACCTTCCTGGGGCAGGTCACATTCAGCCCTGCGGAGGTCAAGCCCAGGCCGGGCTAACAGCCTGGGCTTTCGGAGGCAACTGACCGCCCGGTGTCCTTGGGCCTTGACACCTGCCTTCCCTGCCCTGCAAGGACTTGGGCGGGGACACAGGGACGTAGAGCCACGCCCACCTGCCCGGCCAGCCTCCCTCCAGGTGGACGGAGAGGGTCCCTGAGCCGGTGGCTGTGGGGGAGGGGTAAACTCTGCTCAGAGTCAGAACTTTTCTCAGGGAAGGTCACAGTTAAAGGGCTTGGTAGAAAGAGCGGACAGACATCCCCTTGGTGGGGGAGGGGGAGGAGAGGTCCCCTGCCCGTGTGGCTCACACAGCGGAGTCGTGAGGATGTCCCTGTGTGTGCAGGGCGGGGTGAGGGTGCCACGCGGGCTGCAGACTCGGGCTGGCCCCTGGGCGGGACAGAATGCCAGGCCCCAGCATCTGCCCGTGACCTGCAGGCGGAGTGGGTGGTGGTCACGCTGGCTGCAGTTTTTGACCGGGTGCAGGCGGGAGAACACTCGGCCTCGGGGGTGGGCGGCATGTGGGACCCGGGCGCCGCCCCCCGTCCCCCGCCCTCCACCCTGCAGTTTCCCTGAGGGGTGGCAGGGATCCTGAGACGTCCAGTTGTAAGGTCCCGCTTGCTCCAAATCGGTCGGCGCTAGAACCCTTTCTCCTGTGGCACCCCGTTGATGTCCTGGGCCTGCGCTCTGCGGGACCCCATGTGGGGGAGGCTGCTGCTTCTCTCCCCAGGATGAAAGTAGGAAGCGGCTGTCCACCGGGGGCGGGCGCTGCTTCTGGCCGTCACGTCCGCTGGGTGCCCTGGCAGCCTGTGCTCGGGGTGGGGGGTCTCTGGGCTCGTGCCCTGGGGTGCCGCTGTCTCCGCCCACACGAAGCCTCTCCGGGGCCTCCTCCCTGCCTGACACCTGTGGTTTTGGGGAAGTATAAAGGAGGAGTGAGGAGTGTGAGCGTGTCCCCTGTGGCTTGTGTGACTCGCTGGCCTGGTGGGAGCTTAGCACCTCCTGTGTGCGGTCAGAACGTGTGTTTTGTCCGGGCCCAGGGTGCCTGGTGGCCCGGGGCTCTCTTGGTGCTGCTCTGAGCTTTCCTGGGCCTGCACCTTCCTCCTGCGCCTCCCGAGGAAGCTTCTGGATGAGGGTTCTGCCGGCCACTGGGGCTGTCTGATGGAAGGGTGTGCCTTCCCCCCACTGTCGGAATCGGTCTTTCCAGCGTCCAGACATCAGCATCCTGGTCCCGGAGGGGACACATTCGCTCAGTGACTCAGTGGTTAGCAGTGCCACCAGCCTGGCTGCCCCCCCCGCCACCGCTGGCCCCCAGAGACCTTCCCCACCCCCACTCCCGGTCTCTTACAATGGCACCTGCCTCCTGCCCCCAGGACAATGGGAGTCTGTAGACTCACCTTGATCTTCTTCAGGCGGTGCTGCTCATGTTCTCAGTCTGCGTCTTTACGCACATCCTGGCTACTTGTTTTCTTAGTTACTGGGCGAGGGCTGTTGAGCTCTGCGATGTAATTTATAGCTCTGTCTGCCAGTTTTGCTGCCTGTGTTCTCAGGCTCTGCTATTCGATTCCTAAACATTTAGGGTTCTTAGGTCCTCCTGATGAATTAGCTCTTTGTGTGTTTTTTTTTTTTTTTAGAGAGAGCTTGAGTGGGGGAGGGGCAGGAGAGAGAGAGAGAGAATCCCAAGCAGACTCTCCACTGAGCTTGGAGCCCAACTTGGAGCTCGATGTCACGACCCTGAGATCATGACCTGAGCCGAAATCTAAAGTCGGGCCCTCAACCAACTGCGCCACCCAGGGACTCCTAATTAATTCTTTTTTCATTAAGAAATGACCCTCTTGGGGCTCCTGGGTGGCTCAGTCGGTGACACGTCTGCCTTCGGCTCAGGTCATGATCCCAGGGTCCTGGGATGGAGCTCTGCATCTGGCTCCCTGTTCTACGGGAAGCCTGCTTCTCCCCCTCTCCCACTCCCCCTGCTCGTGTGCTCGCTGTCTCAAATAAATAAATAAAATCTTAAAAAGAAATGACCCTCTTTAACTGGAAATCTAGTTTTGTCCTGTGTGCTGTATTAGTGTGTCCAATTCAGCTTTCCTTTGGTTATTGTCAGGAAACATGTCTTTTTCCATGCCTCCCCCCCCCCCCCCGCCCCACCGGTTTGTGTCTTTTTACGTAAAGGGCTGGGTTTGCCATTTCTACCTCGAATCCCGACAGTCCACATTCGAGGGCTGTGCTGTCGGCTCCCTGGGGTTCGTCCCATCCGTTCCTTGTTGTTTTACTTCTTCTGCCGGTTTGTGGGTTCACGGAGTGTGTTCTGTGACCCGGCCCTGGTGCCTGCGTGGGCTGAAGGGTGAGTGCTCTTGGCACTGTGGGTGCGTGTGTGCTCTGGGGTCTACGGCACATTCCTTGACTCCGTCTGAGAAGCTTGCAGAACGCGCCGCCCTCCTCGGCCTTTGTGAAATCGTGCATCTTTTACTTTTTGTCATAAACCCCGTTCTGCATTGTTACCATTTTTGTTTGCACAAACGCGCCGTTCCCTTTGGAGGGTCTGTTGCTCTCGGGGCGTGTGGGATTCGCCAGCGCGTCTCCACGGGGTTTCTCTGCCGAAAGAAGGACGGGCCAGCTGGTGATGAATCCTCTCTGTCTCTGTTTCTGGGAAAGGTCTTTGTTTTGCCCTTAATTTTTGAATTTCTTTTTACTGGGTATAGAATTGTGAGTTAACAGGTGTTTGCTCGGCTGTACTGTATCCAAGGACGACACTCTGGTCCTCCGTCCAGAACATGTAAGTGTCTTTTTTCTCTGACTGCTTTCAAGATTTTCTCTTCACCGCTGGTTTTAAGCAATTTGATTTTGATGTGCCTCCATTTGGTTTTCTTCACAGTGTTTGGGCTTCCCACATCGGTAGGTTTATGGCTTCGTCATCTTGGGGAGAAAGCCCTCAAATACTCCTTATGCATCTCCCCCTTCCTTTGGGGACCCCGGTTCACCTGTGTCCAGGTCTTGACGTCCCGCAACTCAATAGAAAAGGAGGATCCTTTTCTATTTTGGGCTCCTTTTCCTTTTCTTTCATTCTGGATGGTTTCTGCTGCTGAGCTGCCCAGGTGACTGGCCTTGTCCAACCAGGCACTTCCAGGAGGCCGTGGCGAGGCTGGAGCCCAACTTTGCCGGCTGTGGAGGCCAGCCTGGCTCCCCGCCTGCTCCTCAGGGTGACAGGTCCTTAGTTGGGGTCGTGACCCCAGGAACCCTTCCAGGGACTGTTTCCGGCGCGAGCTTGTTGTACTGTTGTAGGTTTTCAGGCCCGAGGTGGCCTTTGTCTGGCCCATGACAGGGGATACATTCAGATTTAGGACACCATAGGCCGCACACCCGGGCAAGGCGGCTGATTCGCACCCAAGCCAGTGGGCAGTTGGCGAGGGTGGACAAGCCCAGGAGGCCTTTCCTGTCGGGTGCGCTGTGTCTGCTCATGGGCTCTCCTCGGGGACCCCACCCTGGGCTGGGCCAGTCTGCACTGTCCCCGACTCACACACAGCGGGGGCCACCCGACCCGACACGCAGGAGCACTGGGACAGAATGCAGGGGTTGGTTGGGACTGTGAGGGAAGACAGGACGGTGCCGAGGGTGAGACTCTGGCCACCACGGCGAATGTGAGGCTTGAGCACAGTCTGGCTGTTTTGCTCAACCTTGAGTTGCTGGAAGATGACTATCGTGACTTGTGTTAGTGAAGGTGTTAGTTATCTGTGTTAGCCTGGGTGTTCCCATGGAAACCAGTCCGAGAGCTGGAGCTCGCTGGGGCGTGTGCTCATGTCTGTCCTTCCCGTGCCCCGGCCTTCCTCCTCCTCTGGCTTTCCTTGGGCTTGATCCAGGGGCCAGGACTCGCCGGGCGGGCAGCCACGAGGACTCGGGGCACCCTCGAGTCTCATGCCTTGGTTTCCTGGCCTGTGAAACGTGAGGATACCCAATGGCCTGCTGTCCCTCCCTGCCCCGACGCCCTCGTCCTGGGAGCCGCTCCAAGCTGTCGGTGCCGCGTGCCCGGGCGCGCTCGTCCGCCGACGGCTTGTTGCTGCCGAGTGGTGCTCTTTCCGTGGACGTGCTGTGCACACGCCGTCAGGACTGCACGCAGCGGACCGATGGGGGAGCGCAGGGCTCTGCCCGGGACGTCCAGCGCAGGAGGGAGGCCGCAGCTGGGCCAAGTGTGGTCAGGGCTGCGACCAGCTGGGAGGAGGAAGCAGCACGCGTGTCGTCCGCGCTCAGCTGGAGAGGCTGACCCCAGCGGTCAGAGTGTGCGCGGGATGGCCCGTGGGGTGGAAGGAAGCCCCGCTTCCAGAATGCGTGCACACACAGGGTGCGTGCTGTTGGGGGACGGCTGGGGGGAGGGTCCCAGAAGGACTGTGGTTCTCGCTGACTCGTGCATCCCCAGTTTTAATTTTCGGAGCTTCCTGCATTCATCTAGGATGAGCCTGGATTTCTTTAATTACTCCTTAATTAGCAGGAAATAAACATTGTTTCCTGAAAAACCAGTAGGTGTTTGGAATTCAGAGGAACCTGTCGTTTCTGTGCGGTAGAAACTCGCCCCACCCTGCCCGCCGGCGGCCGCCCCGTTCAGGAGCGCGGTCCCTGGGAGGCGGGAGCTGGCCGTGGGAATTGGGATCTTCGGGCTCCAGGCGCTGTTTCCCCGGGTGGAGAGTGCCTTTGCTGCTGGAGGGCAGGCTGCGTGCCCACAGGCCACGAGGGGTTGCTGTGGCCCGGGGACCACCCAGGACCGTGGGAAGATTTGTCCCTTTCGTGCCACTGAAGGTGTAGTTGCAAGCAGACAGCTCGCACCTCGTTGGCGTGTCCTTTCTGGGAGGAGGTTCCGTGCTGTCCCTGGAGTGTGGCCGTCACTGCCCGGACCACGGGGGTTGGCCTTCTCCCCAGAGTCACTCGCCCGGTGCTCCCCACTCTGCCTGCTCATACTCTGGCATCTCAGGATGCAGGGATGCGTGTATTTTTTAGAGGAATAACAACAAATTCTGCGTTTGTGTGGGTATTTCCAACTCCCCGAATAACTTCACTCCTTCGATTTTCCTTCCCGTGTCTCCCCTCCCCCGAGGCTGGAAACTTTCCCGCCGACGATAACGCCATTTACCGGTTTCGTGTGTTTAGATTCCCTCAGTTCAGAAGAACGTTGTCAGCGTCAACACCCACAAGACCGCTGCACGCGGTTTGGGATTCTTCTAGCATTTCTTTGTTTGGTCCTTGGCTGACATCCCACTGCACACACGGTCACGTCACCTGGAATAACTGTGGCGGTCACGCTCCCGACGTGGTCACCCTTAGGCTTATTTCGTTCTGGTTTTGGTTTTGGGGCATTGCTGTTTTCAACTTAATTTTTTAAAAAAGATTTATTTATGTATTTGAGAGAGCGGGAGAGGGGGAGAGAGAATCTCAAGCAGACCCCCATGGAGCACAGAGCCCGATGCGGGGCTTGAACTCATGGCCCTCACCAAAATCAGGAGTCGGACACTCAACCGACTGAACCACCCAGGCGCCACTCAATTTAATTTTTTTTAAGTGAGTAAACTATTTGCATGGCTCGGTTCCTTAGTGTTAGACCTGAGACCAGATGCGTGGAGGGAGGGCGGCCTTGCCCGCACGGTCAGGCCTACGGGGCTGTCCCTCGGGCACTCTCCATCCTGGGCATCGGGAGCTGATGCGCTGCCGGGAGGTGCCTTGTCAGGCCGGTCTGGGGCTGCAGAGACGGCCCCGCTGCAGGACAGACGTCTGCTCCTGGGCGGTCCCTCCTGGCGGGTGGAGGCTCCGGGATAGCAGGACCCCCATCTTACCCAGGGGCCGGCACAGAAGGGCCAGATGAACAGAGCCGCATGCGGATGCGTTAAGTGGAATGGAAGTCGAAGCGAATGGTGGTGTGTGCTCCTTCCCAGCGATCACGATTGCTTACGTCATGGGTCCCTGCCCTCCGAGGCCCCCACGGCTGCCCCACAGCAGGGCTGGTGGGTCAGAGCTTGTCTGCGAGCCTGCAGACCACACCTGGCAGGCTCAGCATGAGGCCTTCCCCCCTGGGTCCTCCTGCCACCCCTCTGGGCCACCGGCCACTCTGTCCCCCAGCCTGGGGGGAGGGACAGTTTGGACGCTGTGGGCGGAGGTCTCAGGAAGAGCTGTCCAGTCATCGTAAAGGCTTGGGCTCAGCTCCAGTGCTGGTGTTCCGGAACCACCGGGAAGATTTTAAATCAAAACGCACCAAACTCAGTGAAAACACCTCTTTTGGTCTCTCAAGCCAGCTAACGACAGCCAGGACATTTGAGATTAGAAGGACAAGATGAAGGGTTAGCCGCTTACTGCCCCAGTCTGCCGTGGGCTGTGTCCCTGGCCCGGCCTTGCGGGGCCGGTGAGGAGGGGCCATGGCTTCGTGCTGGGGGATGGTCACCAAGGACACATCTGCTGCTGACAGGCTGTAATTAGGAGGCTGTGGCCCCTGGACGCTACCTGCTAAGTGACTTTGCCCCCCTGCCCTCACTTGGAGATCGGCCACACGGGGCAGCTATGGTCACACTCCTGCAGCTCACACGCACCTGCCTGTCCAGAGACAGGACACGCAAAGAAGGACAAGAGGCCGCCGGGAGCACCTCGGGACACACCAGGGGCACAGGAATGCCCTGTGGTGGTGCTGATGGGCACACATCTCCCTTGAGGTACCCAGCTCCGGGTATGGGTGCCCTTCCCGAAATCGTCTGCAAAAATAGCGCTGTCATCTCCGTGGGCTCCTCGGGGGGTGGGTCTGGAACCCCAGACTGATTGCTGGGAGGACGTCCTGGCAGCCAGGAGAGGGGTGAGGCTGGGCAGTGGCCCCTGGTGTCATCCCTGGGTCTGGGGACAGGGGAGGTTGGGAGAGGGGCTCTCTGTCCCTGGCCTGCTCTGACTGTTGGGGACAGGTCACCCCCAGCATGGCCTTCCCCTGGGACACCAGGAGGACCCCTTCCATAGACAGGGAGGCTGGCGTTCTAACGGTTAAGTGGCTGCCCGCCCCGCGGTCACTTGGAGGCTGAGTGGCCAGACCCGGACCTCCCTGAGGTCAGCTCGCAATCAGCGGGGGGAGCCCGAGGGCTCTGCCTGCTGAAGGGTCCCGGGGCTGGGTGGGCGCCCAGTCCTCTGATGTGGGGTTGTGGCCCGGGCCCGTGTGGGCATGCAGGAAGTGGGAGCTGAGAGTTCTCACTGTGAATTCTCAGGTTAACGTGTCTCGTTGGAGGAAACCCGCAGGAGGGAGGTCTTCTGTGACGGATGGAGAGCAGGATGGGACAGGAGCTGTGGGATGTGCTCTCAGAGTGGGGGCCGTGGGGCTCTGGGAGTGCAGGACATCTTGGGGCCTGGGGGGTGCTCCTCACCCGGGACGTGCTGGCGAGGCCGGCCCCTCGCAGACACCCACGGGCCCACGCGACCCACGCAACGTGGAAACAAGCCACGCTTCTCACTGCGTGTGTTTGTTCTGGGAAACGTCATAAATTTTCATGAAATTTGCTGCTTGCGTTAACGTAGAGAGGATTTGCTATCACCTTTGAGTGTGTTAATGCGATTTGAAGAACGTCTTGAACGTCCAGGGGCAGGACCTGCTCATGGGAAGGAGTTTTGTGAGGCTGTCTGCTATTTTAGGGGCATAAAGGGGAGCTTTACGGAAGCGTCTGAGAAGTAAAACTTGAGTCATGGCCATAATCACAGCCGAGACCGATGGGCTAGCGCACGACGGGCGCTAGGAAGTCCTTCCCCAGCGGGACGGCGAGGTGGGTGCGGATGCTCTCTTACTGTCGTATAAATGCCAGAGTGGACGTTCTGGGTGTCCCTGTGGGCGGCCAGGTCAGGGTGCAGACCCTGGCTGTCCCCTTGGGGCTTGGGCCCTGGCAGGTGACTCTCTGGTGACAGCCGCCCACGTGTCCCACGGACCTCAACCTCAGGGACACTCAGGTGCGTGCACCTGCCCGTCTGGAGCCGGTGTGTGCGGGGCTCTGATGTCAGGCACGGTGGTCAGGAGGGGCGCTGTGCCGGGCCCCCAGCAGAGAGAACGTCCCGGGAAAGGCGCTGGCTCTGGACTTGGGGCAGCTTCCCAACCTTGGCTGGTCTGCGGGTTTGGCCAGGTGGTCTGAGGGACGGGCGGGGCGGACCCCTGCGTGGGTACAGGCCTGAGTGCAGGCGTGGGGGCGCGTGGGTGCCCCCAGTGACCCTGATCACTGCGTGGGGGCTCTTCGTCCTCCTGAGGCTGCCCTGGCCTCGGAGGGGGTCCCTTGGGCGGGGTTGTGGGGCCGGGTGCCCATGGTGCCGCCTGCTCTGTGGCCACCGGCTCCGTGGTGGCGAAGGTGCGCCCCGGGCACGTCACTAACGTGCGATCTGTCCTCTCGTCCCCCAGGAGAATCATTGTCGCCGGATCAAGATCCTCGGGGACTGCTATTACTGCGTGTCTGGCCTCACCCAGCCCAAGACCGACCACGCCCACTGCTGCGTGGAGATGGGCCTGGACATGATCGACACCATCACGTGAGTATCCGCGGGGACGGGTCCGCCTCGCACCCCCATGGGCCCTGCAGGCCTCAGGGGCCACGTGTCCCCAGGCTGCGGAGAGCCAGGCTGCATGGCGAGGCTCGGGTCGGGGATGCGTTAATGACGCAGGAAGAAGTCAGCTTCCTGGCTTAGCCAGACAAGACTTCCAGGGAGTCAGCCGGGGAGGGGGTAGGCTCAGATCCAGCCGAATTCCACCGAAAGGAACGCACGTGCTTGTCTTCACGGGCGTAGGTGTCCAGGGGCTCCCTGCTGGAGGAGCTTAGAGGGAGCAGGTGTGCCTTCCGGGGACACCGTGGGCCGGCCGCACTTCTGAGCCAGCCTCCTCGCGTCCCATCAGAGAGCGGGATGAAGAATCAGGGACCCTCCGTCGGGGCAGGGAAGGTGTGGGCTGGGAGGTTGAGCTGGTGCCCACATCTCAGCAGCGTGGAGGGGTGGGTGCAGTCCGGCGAGACGGGGTTAGCAGGGACGGGTGTAGACGTCCACACTCGGAGCCGAGACGAAGTTGTATGAGGAACACGGGAGAACAGAGAGCGAGAGAGCGAGAGAGACCCAGCCCTGGGGTCGGGGGCGGAAGAGGCCCGGGGACTCCAGCGGGGGGGTCCTCTGAGTGCACAGGGGGATCCAGAGCAGGGGACGGTTGGGGCCAGTGCATGCGGACCCTGTGTGTGGTTCTGGGGTGCTCAGGGTCGGGGGTGGTGCCGTGCCGGCCGCGCATCCAGGAGGGTTGCTCACTGCGCAGACACGACGGTCCCCCGACGTGTGCACTCAGGACGGGCTTGTGAGGGGCCGGGCGTTCGCTGCCGCTGGACGGAGGGAAGGAGTCTCCTCACGGGCAGGCGCGTGCAGGCCCCGGCCGCCTGGGTTCTGACCTGTCCTGAGGCTGGAGGGATCGAGGACGTGTTCCCGGTCCGGCGGGTGGGGAAGGATCTTGTGTTGCACTTGGTGGGAAGTGTGTCCCTGTGGGAATAACAGGCGGGAAGGTTTACAGGCTCCGTGTTAAAGACAACACAAGGGTGCCGATGTGGAAGCGAAGGCCCGGGGCTCCCACCCCATGGCAGGTGCAGCTCGCGGGGCTGGGGGATCTCCCAGCGGGTCCCCAGCTGCTGGAGCATCCATTCCCCCACTCCGCAGGGAAGGGGCCGCTCAGCACAGGGTGCAGGAGATTCCTCTGCTCCCAAGCGTCGGGATTCTGTGCGTTTCCAGTAGCGCGAGATCCTCGTCTGTCACAGGCCTTAGTGAATCGTGCATCGGACCGGCAAGCGTGCGGGGCGAGGTCTGGGTGTTTTGTTTTTCGGTATTGGATCAGGGGAAGTGATGCGCGGCTTACTGAGACGTGAGTGTCCAGGTGACCGTGTATCTACTGCCACCAGGATCCAGATGTTTGAGGCAGCACCTTCCGTAAGAGGTGAGAGTGTGCAGGCTGCAGGATTTGGTCCCTGTGACCTTTGCCCCTTCCTGGCTGCGAAGGTGGAGATGCTGTAAAATGGGCAGAAACACTGTTTGCAGCTCTTCTCGTTCACGTCTCCCTGTGTTCCTTTCCTTTTGCAAATATAAAAAAAAAAAAAAATCCAAAATTTTAACCCTGTTTTGTTTGCTTCGGTGCTTCTCACTAGAGGTTGGTAAATGACTGAGAAAAGTTCAAATTGAGAGAAAAGATGTTCAATGTGTGTAAAACTTAGTAGGTGTCGAAGACACATCCACAGACTCCTGAGTCGCCTTTGCTGAAAACCCGTGACACGCGGACTTCCGGATGCGCACCAGGGACCTTGGACCTGACGTGAAACGCTCTGGTCCTAGGGGCCGGGCCCTCGGTGGACACAGAGGTGGTGCTGGGCTCCCGATGGTCCAGGACGGCTTTGATGGGGGCGAGGCGGTGTGGCGGCGGGATCCCGTGGGACCGCTGGGCAGTCTGCTCATGGACGCCGGGGCAGGGCAGGCAGGGCCGAGCGGGACGCTGTCCTCCCGGGCGGGGGTGCTCCAGCCAGGTGACGGGACCCAGCAGCCGCGTGGAGTGGGGTCCACGGCCACGAGGACTGCTCGGGCCGTCCTGCAGTCGGGGTCCTCACGGACCCTCTCCCGGTGTTTCTGCCCCTGTGTCTTCCAGAACAGGGGTTAGTGGGACATGGGCTGTGGCCTTGAGCCTGGAGACGCCAGGGTAGCTGGGCGGCTGTCAGAGTCTGTTGGCGCTCATTCAGCTCCGCCCTGGATTGCACATGGGAAACGGAGACGCGGAGAGGGCAGAGGTTGGCCTGGTCACCTTGCTGGGCTGATGGGACATCTCTAGAAATCAGGGGCCGCCCTGCTCACGTGTGCTCCCCACGCGGAGCGGCGCCTTTGCCCATCTGAGGTTCTGAGAGCCAAAGCCTCTGGACGCTCTCCTCAGCAGCCCCTGTGTGTGTGTCCTGGGCATACATTCTGGACAGAAGACCCCAAGCTCTTTATTTTGTCCTTAAAGCCCCTTGTTTTCTTTCAGGATTTCTAACTCAGATGTTTTAAGGGACCCAGGCACCCCCGAGTCTCTGGTGGTTTGGGCCAGACTGCCTGGTGGTCAGGGCATGGCCGGAAGCGGTCTCTGACAGACCCTGTTGTACCAGCACCAGTGATGGGTCCTCAGGGATGGGGGTGAGGATCTGGGAGGGCTTTCCGGAGGCTGCATCTCAGCTGGGCCACGTCATATTAGGACCAAGGCGGGTGCACACGAATCCACCCCAAGTTCTGAAGTAGGAGGGAGATTTATCATTGAGCTCACGGGTGGCCTGCTATCCTGGGTGGGGTGGGGGGTCTGCATGTGGCTGGGCCGCAGGGCACCTTATGCTGGGAGGGGATGGAGGGCGGGTTGTCCAGTGGGCCGGCCCCGGGTGGCAGCCTGGCGACCCTGTGTGTCCGATGTTTCCTGGTCTCCCTTCTCCCTCGTGACAGACCTTCTAACCACGGGGCCTTGTGTCCTGGGCCGCGGCTCAGCCTCCTGGCCCTTTGTGGTTGGGCTTTGCTGCGGGCGGGGGAGCCGCATTGGACACGCCTGCTGTGGGGGCCACCTGTGGACAGGCGGGGTCACGTGGCTCAGCGCTCCCTCCCACGGAGCCTCGTTGCACTCCTGTCCCTTGGAGCCCATGGAGAGCCGCTGTCGCTTCCGCAATGCCCTGCTTTAGCATTTTCTGTGATAATATAACTTCTGCCCGTTGGGCAAGAGCGGGACACACAGGAGACGGCATCGGAGGGCCTCGGCACGGCTGCTGTGTGTCCCCTTTGGTCTGACATAGTGCGTTGTGTACCTCTGAGCATGGCAGTGAGGCCTAGAGTTGGGGAAACCATGCGTGGCACCCTGTGGGTGCCCCCACATGATCGCTCGCACGGAGCTCCCTGCAGCGGGCGGCGTCCCCTGGGTGCTGCTGGGACTCATGCTGGCCCACGTTCCCCAGCCGCGGGCGGCCTGCCCACCTGGACCCGCCGCCTGATTTCGGCATCCACACGCTTGTCATCCCGTAAAGTCTACTCGGGGTCATGTCTGGAGCTTGGGGTCAAACCCTGGCTGTTCCCCGGATGCCCCTGGCCAGCAAGTGGGCACGAGCCCCCAACCGGGTCAGCGGGACACAGAGGGGATCGGAGGTCCCAGGCTCATGTCCCCCTGGGGGCTGCCCTAGGTGGGGAGGGGCAAGGGGCGGTGTGGACACAGCGTGAGATGCCCAGTGGCCAGGGAGCTGGGGGGCCTGGCCCAGAGCAGCCCTGCCCACCTGGAGCCGTGCTCGGGGATTGGGCTGACTAGGTCCGGAGAGCCCCGTGCTCCCGCCTGTGCAGACTCCCCTGCGTGCGCAAGCTCACGGGTATGGGCAAGGGCCCAGCCCCATGCCATGACGTGTCTGTTGCAGGTCGGTGGCGGAGGCCACGGAGGTGGATCTGAACATGCGTGTGGGGCTGCACACCGGCCGGGTCCTCTGCGGGGTCCTCGGCCTGCGCAAGTGGCAGTATGACGTGTGGTCCAACGACGTGACCCTCGCCAACGTCATGGAGGCCGCCGGCCTGCCCGGGTGAGTCAGGGCGAGGCAGTGTGCTCTGGGGTCCAGAGGACAGTGTGGGAGGGGCCCGCGCCGCTTCCCCAAACTCACGTGCTGGGAGCATGGGCCGGGCGGCCGCAAAGCAGACGACACCGGGTCCTGAGCAAACTCCACCTGCCCTGGGGGTCCTGGGGGAGCCACGGTGGGAGCCGTGGCAGGAGCCACCTGCACGTCCCCCAGCTCCAGGCCTGCATCCCCTTCCCCTGCCGTCTGGGACCGTCACACGCATAGCTGGGCCTTCGGTCCTGCAGGACTGAGAGGCAACGGACGCTGGGCAGCCCCACCCCGTCTGTGTCCGCGGAAGGGGCTTGTGGGGCTGACCGCGTCCGGGCCGGCCAGGCCACACCTTGGCTGGGACCCGCGGTGGCATCCACTCCCACTCTGTGCTTGCACCCGAGACCCCTCTGCTGCCCCAGAGCCTGGAATGCTCCCCTCTGCTCCCGCTGATGCTCGGCCCGTCCCCGGTCCCGAGCCCTCCCCAGCAGCTCCCCCCTTGCTGGGCTCCCTCCGCCTCTTCTTCCCAGGTGACCGGCGCTGCCCGGTGACAGGGAGCCCGAGTGCCCCTCCTGGACCTGCCCATGGGTGGGCCGCCAGCGCTGCCTTGGCAGGCCCTGGGCACCGTGGTGCTGCTGTCTTGCAGGAAGGTCCACATCACGAAGACGACCCTGGCGTGCTTGAACGGCGACTACGAGGTGGAGCCGGGGCATGGGCACGAGAGGAACAGTTTCCTGAAAGCTCACAACATCGAGACCTTCTTCATCGTGCCGTCACATCGGCGGAAGGTGGGCTCTGGGACTGGGACGGGGTTCCCGCTCACCTGGCTTGGGCCAGGCCAGTCGGAGCCCGGGTCCTCTCAGGGGCTGGACTGTCCTGCATCCTCTGTCCCCACCACCTCCCTGGGCCTTTACCGCCCGTTGCAAAACAGGCCAGGGATGGGGGAGCACTGAGCAAAGGGGTGCTGTGCACACAGGGGGCCTGTGACCATCGTGTCACTGTGCTTAAGGAAACTGAGCTGGACATGATCAAGGGAGACCTAGTCTTTTCAGGGTTCAGGTGAGGGGTGGAGGGCCTGGGGAAGGGCTTGGGGCACACATGAGGGGTACAGGGCCTGGGAAGGGCTCAGGGCACAGGTGAGGGGCTCAGGGCACAGGTGGGGGGTGCAGGGTGCAGGTGGGGGGTGCAGGGTGCAGGTGGGGGGCTCAGGGTGCAGGTGAGGGGTTCAGGGTGCAGGTGAGGGGCTCAGGGCACAGGTGAGGGGTTCAGGGCACAAATGAGGGGTATAGGACAGAGGTGAAGGGTTCAGGAAACAGGTGAGGGGTGCTGGGCTCAGGGGAAAGTGAGAGTACAGGTGAGGGGCTCAGGACACAGGTTAGGAGCTCAGGGCGCATGTGAGGGGCGCAGGGTGCAGGTGAGGGGCGCAGGGCACAGGGGAGGGGTTCAGGGCGCAGGTGAGGGGTGCAGGGCACAGGTGAGGGGTTCAGGGCGCAGGTGAGGGGCACAGGGTGCAGGGGAGGGGTTCAGGGCGCAGGGGAGGGGCTCAGGGCGCAGGTGAGGGGTGCAGGGCGCAGGTGAGGGGTTCAGGGCGCAGGGGAGGGGCACAGGGCGCAGGGGAGGGGTTCAGGGCGCAGGTGAGGGGCTCAGGGTGCAGGTGAGGGGTTCAGGGCTCAGGTGAGGGGTTCAGGGCGCAGGTGAGGGGTTCAGGGTGCAGGTGAGGGGTTCAGGGCGCAGGGAAGGGGTTCAGGGCGCAGGTGAGGGGTGCAGGGCACAGGTGAAGGGTGCAGGGCGCAGGTGAGGGGCGCAGGGCGCAGGGGAGGGGTTCAGGGCGCAGGGGAGGGGCTCAGGGCGCAGGTGAGGGGCGCAGGGCGCAGGTGAGGGGTTCAGGGCGCAGGGGAGGGGTTCAGGGCACAGGGGAGGGGCACAGGGCGCAGGGGAGGGGTTCAGGGCGCAGGTGAGGGGCTCAGGGTGCAGGTGAGGGGTTCAGGGCTCAGGTGAGGGGTTCAGGGCGCAGGTGAGGGGCTCAGGGCGCAGGGGAGGGGTTCAGGGCGCAGGTGAGGGGTTCAGGGCGCAGGGGAGGGGTTCAGGGCACAGGGGAGGGGTGCAGGGCGCAGGTGAGGGGCTCCGGGCACGGGTGGCCCCAGTACTCCTTCAGGACATAGCAGGTGGGATATGAGGGAGAGCTTCAAGCTTCTCTGTCCTGTGTGTCCGTGGATCGGGGCTGTGCTGCCCCTTGTGACCTGGGGACCGTGGCTGCTGGGGGCTCCAGGGCAGGACAGGCTGGGCTCAGTGAGCTCACTCCTGAAGAACGGGAGAGAGGGTATGGCAGGTGTCGGTGGGCTTGGAGGAGGGCCGGGTGAGGGGTTGGCGCTGGACCCCAGGACAGCAAAGGCCACCCATGTGGGAGTGGAGGGTGGGGTAAGAAGGGCAGGGACCCCAGGGGTTGGTGGGTGGTGGTCCTCAGCCAGCTGCTGGCCCAGCCAGTAACGTCCAGGCTCCAGGGTCCCTACCTGGCCTGGCCCCAAATCTTCCCACGGCTCCTCCCCAGGACTGGGGCCTTGCTCTGGTTTTCAGAGGCCCCAGGGTAGCTGCGAGCTGTGTGCTGTGGGCCCGGCTTGCTGGTTCCATCCACGTCTGTTTGGCCTTGAGCACACGGTCCCCATGATCTCCCTGTCCCCGTCAGGTGCCCGCTCCCAGCTTGGGGGCATGGGGGGCAGCATGGGTCTGCTGACGGGTGTCTCCGTGCCGGCTGTCGGCACAGATATTTCCAGGGCTGATCCTCTCCGACATAAAGCCTGCCAAGAGGATGAAGTTCAAGACTGTGTGTTACCTGCTGGTTCAGCTCATGCACTGTCGGAAGATGTTCAAGGCGGAGATCCCCTTCTCCAACGTCATGACCTGTGAGGATGATGACAAGGTAGGAGGGCCACCTCCCCGCCCCAGGAAGCCTGGCCCTGCATGCTTTCTAACCGTGTAAATGCTGTTCAGAGCCAGGCTGCTTTTGCTTTCCTGGAAAAATCTTGCTATCATCTTGCATTTTTTTTTTTTTGCAATTTGGCCTTCCACATGTTTGTGGGTCAATGCTTGCCCAGACCCCCAGCAGCTGTCTGAACCTTCCCTGAGGATATTCATGCTCATCAGATGATCTGTCGTGAGGTCTGGAACCTCAGCCATGGCTTGCGAGCCCGGGTGCCGTCAGGCAGGCTTGTCTCTGGCCGCCCCCACCCCCTGGTTCTCCTGCTGCGCACCTGTTCACTCCCTTCCTGTTCAAAGTTGTCCAGTCCATGGAAGGTGGCCTCCTGGAGGTGCCTGCCTCGTGGCCTGGCTGCCAGGATTTTCCACTTTTCCTCTTGGGTTGGTCAGAATTGTCTTTGGGTGTTCTGGTCTTCTGCTGGGTTTGGGGGTGGTGCTGCTCTGTGGGGGTCCCAGCATCCCCTTCAACCACATGGGCCTTGCATCTCGGGGGGCAGAGACCCCAGTCGTCTGGGGCAGGGGTCGTGTCCCAGGAGGCTGGGACAAGCCTGGAGTGCCGCCCCTTCCCCTCCTGTGTCCTCGTGTCCTGGGGCCCCCAGCCCAGCGTGGCTCTGTCCTGTGACTCATGTCTGGTTCCTGAGACCGCTGTCTGCTCACTCCTGTTTTCCCTGCCATTCCGGGTTTTGTGACGTGGCAAGGAATTCCATCCCTGCAGTCCTGGGGGCTTTTCAGGAAGAAGCAAGAATCTGCTGGTGCTCCTGGGGATTCTTGCCTCGCAGGTTTTTTGTGGTTTTGACTGTGAGCTCACATTTGTGAGAATTTTGCTGGAAATTCTTCAAGAGCGGTGCTGATGTGGGTTCTATCAAGATTGGCCTTCCCCTCGGCCAGGTACCTGGGGGCTTCACGTGCTTGCCCAGTAGATTTTAGATGTCTCAGCTGGGCAGACGTGTGCAGATGTGTTCCCGGGGGTCCCCTCGGTGCAGAGCCAGGTTTAAGACTGTCCCCCGTGTAAGGGCTCCCCATGTGAGTGTTTGCTGAAGGGGCCGCTGGGGGCGTGGGCCCCGGCTAGAGCTTTGACCTCACTGCCCACCGTGCTCAGGCCCCGCGTTGCTGCGGTTGGCTCTTGAGGGATGACGGGCTCTCCAAGCTCTCCAGGTCTCAGAGGGCAGCGACGCATCAGCCACCTGCCCGGCCTGGGTTCCCGCGTCGGATGTCCTCTGGTGGCTTCCCTTTCTTACCAGCTTCCTGTGCATTTGAAAGTGTGTGTGTGTGTGTGCGTGAGTGTGGGTGCACATGTGTGTATAAGTGTGTGCATGTTTGTGTGCGTGCATGGATGAGTGTGCACACGAGTGTGTGCATGCAGGCATGTGCGTGCATGAGTGTATGAGTGTGTGCGATGCATGCACGTGTGTGTGTGTGGGGGGAGATTCCTCACCCCGTCCTCTTCCTCCTGCTCCTCCTGGGAGCGCAGAGCCATGCTGGGTTTCTTCCGGTCTCCCACATCCTGAATCCTGGCCCAGCCCCGGACACCCCAAATCCCTGGAGTCACAGGTCAGGCTCTGCCCACCTTGAGACTCTGGTCCTTCATGTGTGTGTGCTGGGGACAGTGGGTTCTGGCCCTCCAGCCTCCCTCCTTGGGGGCCACTTGCTGCCTCATGCTATACCCGGTGCCTGAGTGCGGCGTGCGGGCGTGCACCCTTGCCTTCATCCCTGTCGCTGTGCCCGGCACCCCAGGTCCAAGGCCGAGCCCCCCAGCCATCGTGTGGTTTCAGGGCTCCTCATCTGCGCCCAGCTCCCTGACCTTAGAGGGTCTCCCTGCACCACTGGTGAGCTGCCTGCGAGTGTGTGGGACTCCTGCACCCCAAGCTTTGGCCCCACGTCTGGTCCCTCCCCACCAGCCGGCACTTCCAACCTCCGTGGCCCAGGCAGTTCCCCTGCCGGGGAGACAGAGGGGCAGGCAGGTAGTGGGCTGGGGAACCGCGGCTTCCCCTCATCGCCATCTGCCTTGTGAGCGGTGGAAATAAGCCACAACGTGCAGGATAGCAGTGTCTGCACCGTGGGAGGCCCCCAGCGGTTGAGACAGGGCAGTGACAAGGCCGGTGGTCCCGAAGGATGGGGTGGAGAGGCGCAGAGGCAGGGCCGGCCCGCCAGTGAGGGCAGCTCGGGAGGTGGCCGTCGAGTGACCCGCGGGGCAGGCCCTTCCGCCTGTGGGTGCTGTCCCTAGGGCTCCCCCAGAGCCTGCGTCCCCTTCGGGATGAGGTCTCCCATTGGCCTTGTCTTCCCTCCTTTGCGTCCAGGCCTCACTCCCGTGCAGGTGCCCTCGTGTGTGGCCAGGGTGGGCCCCGCGGACGGCACTGGGCTGGTCCGTCCCGCTGCGCACCTCGCATCACACGTGTGGATTTAACGGGTGTCGCGGGATGATCTACGAGTAGCTTGGTCGCTTGTTCTTGTCACTTGCCGGTACGGTGTCGCAAACGTTTCTCATATTAATAAACGTTCCTCCGAAATGTGATCTTTATGTCGCCATGTGCATCTCCAGCCTGAGGAGAAACTGTGTGTTGATTCCAGGTCCGTTGACGTTTAGGTCATTTACGATTTTTCGTTTTCTGGTCAGAGTGAGTAACTCAGCGTTTCTCTCATGGAAGTGCGTGGACGTCTGTGATCACGTCTGCAGGTCCCAGGTCAGCGGGAGCGGGCATGCGGTCGGTGTCCACGCAGCCCCCCGCGCCGTGCCCAGCGCTCCGGTCCACGCACACCTCTGCTGTCCGGCTCCCTCCTCCTGACCAGCAACTTTTCCAAAATGTCGTTTCTACCATTTCTGTCTGAATTTAACAAAGGTAACGTTTCAGCTCACATTGAAACTCATCCTGGTAACGTCTTCCTCAGCTCAGCTCACGTCGTAGTCGTGACTCTGACCCTTCCTCCACCTTGTATTAACTGTTGCTGACGGGAGAGCCACGCTCTTTCCTTCTGGCTGTTCACTGTGATGCTTTGGGTTAGAAGCGGCCGCCCCCATGAGCGAGTGTTTGCACTTTTTGACAATGAGGAGTAGATGCTGAATTTCAGAAACTGCATTCAGTATCTACGGAGGTGACCCACCCGGTGGCTTTCTCCCCGACTCGCACGGTGACAGGTGCCCGGGACCCTCCGGCGTCTCTGGGACACTGAGTAGCTGCTCCTCACTGTCTGAGCCGCCGCGTCAGGATGCCCGAGCTGGGCATCGGGGCTCGTCTTGTGCTCTCTGCCTGGGACAGCACCGGCTCCTCTCTCTGCCACCACAGCCACGCGTGGGCCCCTCTCTTGTGGCTTTCAGTTGTTGCCAGAGGGAATATTGCAAGCCCTGAGGCCGCCGGCTGCCCCGGGCAGGTCTGTGTCTGTCAGCCACAGATGGGTCAGCCCAGGACCCAGTCTCCATCAGCCGCTCACCTCTGTGCACCGGCTCAGGCAGGCGCTCCCTGACCGTGGTCGGGTCTCAGGCCAGGTCTGCCATCTGGTGACAGCGTGCACGGGGCCAGGAAAGCAAGGCTGAGTGTGGCGTCTTTCCTTCTCAGGCCCCAGCAAGGACTGTTTCAAGCATGGGCATGGAGTCTCTCACCTGGGACTGTCATCGACGGCCCGGGCCCAGAGCTCTGTGCCCCCAGCGCCTCCTCCCTTCCTGTGTGTCCAGCCCGTTCCAGTAAGAGGTTCTGCTCCTCCTCGCTCCCAGGGGCCTGTGTCCATGGAGCACATTAAACCCAGAGGCGTCAGCATGGCGATTCAGCCAACGTACCCACACTTCCCGAGTCCCGGTGAGCAGGGGGACATCGCAGAGACCCTACGATGTTACCAGTGAGAGAGACGTTGGCACCTCTATTACAAACCGTCACAGTTTTGAAGAGCAGAGCAGATTCCTGATAAATGTGAGGAGAGAAGATCCAGGCAGGAATGTAAATCTGTATGCCCTTTGGGGCGTTCCTGCAGCATGGGGGTCGACTGCAGGGCCCTGAGTGGTCCGGGGAGAGCGTATAGAGAGGGAGACTGGGGTACAGGCTGGGAGGGAGCAGCCGCTTGCTGACCACAGCCCGGAGGGGCCAGTGCCAGGCAGGGCCACGTCTCACCAGGTGCTGTCCCAAGCTTGTGTGTCGTGGGTGGGAGATGCTTTTGCTCGTCTCTGCTGCTCACCTGCCTCAGGGAGTGGGGTGTCCAAGCTGAGCCCCAGAGAGCACACTCCTGCCCAGCCCCACCCAGATGAGGCCGTCACTGGGCACTGCCGTCCTTCCTGTCCCCCAGCTCACCACCCGTCTCTCCCGGCAACTGCATCCCATGGCAGGGAGCGGTCAACTGGGAATGGAGGGGCAGACAGGCCCCAGCCCCCAAGGATGTCAATTTACACACGTGTGTGCTCAGGGGTCCTGCTAGTCAGCAGCAGGCTTGGTGGCATTGAAGAAAACCCCAATTGTGGTGACTTGAACGAAAGGTTTCTTATGGTTAAAGTAAACCTGGATATCGGGCAGGACGGAGCTAATGTGGCGGCTTCATGATCTTCTTGAACCAGACCTCTTCTATGATGCTATTCTGGCTTGCCTGCTATCACCTCATGGCCCAAGATAGATGCTGGGGCTCCAGTCATTGCGTCCACATTCCAGCTGGCAGATGGGGGGGGCAGGCAAGTACATTTCAGCCCCCAAGCCGGCTTTCCTAGGTGAGGCCTGCCTGCCCAGGCCAGTTCCTCCATGTGCCCACAAGCCCTGCCGGCGACCAGAGCGGGTCACCTCTCCTGCCCTGGGTCAGTGAGCAGATGCATCGACGGCCACCGGCCTCCCAGGAACCCGCCCCGCAGTCTGGCTCATCTTCCCAGCTGTGTGAGCAGCCCATAGTTCCCGGCGTGTCTGCCTCGCCTGGGCCTCCACGTGGACTGGGGTTCCAACTGACCCCCTCTGGCAGCACGGGGGGACCTGCTTACTG